TACTGCAGAGGACAGAAACAAGCGGGCAACTCGGCCTGTTTAGCGGCAACCCTCATTTTAAACGAGATACAGTACAAAAACACGGTAAATCGCGGAGGCATGCACTCTGCAGAGATGCGTACATAGCACGAGAAAACAAAGGATCGGCAACCATGCAGGCAGCTGTAAGAAGGCAGGTGCTGCTCTCTGAAGAAGAAAAAAGACGACAGCTGAAAAGAAAATGTAATATTGCGTATTATATTGCTAAAGAAGAGACAGCCTTTGTGAAGTTTGGTCCGCTTATTACCCTACATAAAAAAACCGGAGTGGAAATAAATCCAACATATGACAACGATAAAAGGTGTGCAGAAATGATTGGACAAATTGCAGACCAAGTAGACTTTAAGAATTTAGAACCAAGAACTACTTTAATACAGATGTTCAGTCAGATCATACAGTTTAAAAAAAATTATTCAGATCATACAGTTTAAATTAAAAAAAATATGAAATACTGTTTAAAGAGACAGCTGTTGAAATAATTAAAAGAGAACCTAGTGTACTTATTGTTTTCAAATAAATGAAATCACTTTGCTTCTAAAGGTCTCCTCGTATCCCTTTATTAGGTAAAAACACATTTAATAAATTTTCATTGCGCCCTAAAATTCTTTAATGTGCTCCTAAATTTTTCAACTTTCTGAAAAAAGTAAGCGTCAAGCACTGGAAAGGCAGGGCTATTTATACTGAACCAAACGATAGACTAATAAGATGATTGATTAACACAGGTGGAAACTAATGGAATGATGATTAACTAAATAATGAGAACAGGAAAAGAACCAAATAAGGACAGACAGGAACTAGACAGAAACGTAAACATGACAATATTAGGGGCATAATATGTAAGAGATTTTTTTAATGACCTGTATTGGTCGATATTGAATATTTAATTGTTTATGCTGTGTATGTCATATGAAGCATTTAAAATTATTAATTTTATTTCATTTTATTTTTTAATGATTTAGACAAAACACTAAAAAAGTATTTATCATTTATCTTCCATTACATAAAAATAGTTATTGGTTTATCAACCAAAATTTCAATATTGGTGCATCCCTATTAAACATGTATCCAGTATTTCAAAAATTCAGTTTTTCAGGTGAAAATTCAGATTTAGTAACAATTAGCAAAATCTGAAAATTCCAATGATCCTTGTTTGTGCTTTTGTAGATCAGACAGTGCGTTTACACTCACCCCAAGGATTGAAAGCAGGATGAACTCATTGACAGCGAACAATGTCACCTCGAAAATGGCCATAACAAGTAGTTGCACAGGACTGGTCTTCCCCAAAACAGCGCCAAAAGAGATCAGCACGGAACCAGTGCAGAAGTCTGCATTTATCATGCTGCAGAACAAACATACTCACTGTGAGTAATTATAAATACAGTAGTGTATGTGTCTGTGAGTCAGGGGCTGCAGAGTCTAGTCATCTGCTCAACCGCCACGTCCACTTGGTGGTGCTGTGTTCAGCTGTAATCTACTTTACACCCAAGGCCACAGCATCAGCAAATGTGCACATACACCTAACACTTACAGAAACATAACAAAGACATTATTTTATCTGACTGTTGTAGCCTTTTGATAACAGATCTTTATTAGCCACTACTGCTACTTGCCTCCAAACAGGCCTCCAAACATCACCAGTCTCTTTAAAATGCAAATTACTGGATGTAAGAAACAAAAACATAAAAGTCATATGTGGGGTTCAAGTTTTACCTAGTCACTCCAACATGGATTTTGCCATGGTGCAAGCCGTGGAAAAAGCCCTGCATAAGTGTGGCCCACTGTAGGGAAAAGGCTGCGATGAGGAAGTTAAATCCAACACTACTGAATCCATAACGTTGCAGAAACGTCATCAGGAACCCGAAGCCCACGAAGATCATGACATGAACATCCTGGAAACCTAAAACACAAAGTCAGTTAGCTGTTTTCCCTATTCTTTCCCCTCTCGTTCTCACAGTTTTACATTTTTAATAGTAATCTCATAAACTGCAATTGCTCACTGATATGTGTGTGGACTGGACACATACAGAATTTTTTTTTTCCTGACATGGGTACTTAGCAGCACCATTCAGGGCCAATTTTACACTATGGGTATGCTGAACCCTGCATTAACCCCTGTGTTCTTCTCTGTGTAGAGCCATTCATTCACCCTTTTCACTTCTTTTGACACAATTACACTGTTGCCAAGCAACTGGCCATTGACCTGGGCACCAATGAGGATGGCATGGCCCCTGTGGGCAAACTGTCCCACATACCTCTCACACTCACCCTTCTTTGGCAGCCCATAAATAAGTCTACCAGCTCTATGTGTACGCTGAGTTTACTGCAGGACAAATAAGTCTTTTAAATGGATAGTTAACCCAAAAATGATACTAATGTCTCTCCAAACCTAAATAACCTTTATTTATTTTGTGTGTCTCTTTTTTTTGGTCTAAAATAAAAGTCAGTGGGATCCAAACTGGTTGGACCCCACTGACTGTGATTGTATGAACAAAATATCTTCTTTTGCATTCAAAGGATGAAAGAAAGTCATATAGGTTTGAAACAACATTAGGGTGAGTAAAGGATAATGGAATTTTCTATCCCTTCAATGAAACCAATAAGTGAACTGTGAAGCAATGTATTTGCATCCTTACAAAGTAGACAACCTAAAGCAGAGCATTATAATTTATTGTAATTGAACACATAATATATAAAAATGTGATTCATCAATTGTCATACACCCCTGAATGCAGTTATTTCTCATGTCACACCTGTTGTTATGTGTCCTGCAGTTGAGCAATGACAAGCAAAACAGATGCGACCACTCCCATAAAGGTAAAAATGCATATGGTTGAAGATTAGGGATCAAATACTGTACAGACAAGAAGTCTTTTACAAGACAATAAAATCACTTTTCTTTGCAGAGGATTTGCCCCTTTCTCTCTTTATCCTACCTAATATATGTAGTATTCTGTTAAACCTGATAAGTTAAGTCGGTGAAATCTGACATGATTTATGCCATTGCTAAGTCATTGTATATCATTTACATGTAGGTGTGTCCTGGATTTGCAGTGCAGACATAACATGAAATGCAATAAATGTAATTAAGTGCTTCACACAAGTCCGGTGCTGAGGGCAAGTTTAGTGCAAATCGCAGAGATTAAAGGACAAGATGAGGGTTTAGTAAAGCGAGGTGGTTGGGAAATCCAACTACGGTTTGACAAGAAATGACAATTGCACAAAGACAAACCCAAAACAAACAATAAATCAAGCTTTTAAAGAGATCAAATTCTGAGTGAAATGTAAACGTGCTTCACTTAAACTGGTCAGACCACTCAGTTCAGGCCAGTGTTCGTCCGTAAGTACGACCAATCAAACACATTCCTCGGTTATCAAGTTAAAAGGCACCACGTGTGTTTCTACTGGTGAACTCAATAGATTTACAGATCCATATTATTGTTATTACTTAATAATTACCCAGTTGCATGATCGTATCAGATCCACAAATATGTTCTCAACAATGAGTGCTGCATATAAAATCCAGGCCTATTTTTACTAGTTTTCTACGCATCCTTCATTCAAAAGTGTCACTTACTGGGATAACGATAGTAGAACTCATTCTCATGATCATTTCTAGTAGCACTATCGGTTCTGTTTTCATTCCACAGCTTGGCATGAGTGTCATCGTTATACTCCACCAGCGTTCCAAAGAGGATGATGAGGATGACTTCCAAGATGATGCATAACAGCGGCAGCCGTAGCCTCATGTTAGTAGACTCAGCCATGGTGCTTCCCCTTTGCAAGTATCCTTTGCTCTCTCTCTATCCCCTTTCCTCTTTCTGGAGCAGGGCACAGGCTCTGATGGGTCTGCATACAGAGTGCAAGAGAACATTAGCTGACACAAGTCTTTTTATTGTTAGTTTTGCCACTTGTGATCTTAGTAACGCCCACCTGCTCTCTCAAGTCTGCTGATTTGCAGCAGTTCTGGGCTCCTCCCTCACCTTTTTGCTCATGTGGTGCACGAGGAGTACATTTTTGGCCAATGAGAATATTCAAGTAAAATGTGAACAATTCTATTACAAAAGAGCAATTTTTAAGAGGGAGGTCAAAGAGATGGTCAAAGATTTGGATGGAAAGTTGAAGAAGTGATTTCTAGATTTTTCTCTAGATATGGGAGGTATTAAATGGCTAAGTGGAAATGGGTCCAGTCCAGTATATTGAGGCCGATAATGATCACTGTTCCATTATTATTGCCAATGTGGGATGTACATAGAAATCTAAAGGTGATAGATGTGTCTTAGTCATATTTGAACATGTATGAAATATGAACATGTTTTATCCACATTTAAAGCAGTTAAACTTAATTAATACAAACACACATTTTTTCCCACAACTTCTGTCCCCCAGGATTCACTTTCAAACACATTCCACAACAGATACATACATTTTGAACTGACAAGGACATGAACTCAAAACATTCAGTATTGGTACTCAGGGCTCTACAGTGCGACCATTTCAGTCGCATATGTGACTGAAAACTACTGCATGTGACTATGAAAAAATATTTAGGAGCACCTGTGCGACTGACCCAATCAGCATTTATGTTTGCGATGAGGGAGCTTCAATGGTTTCTAACGTACTTACAACGTGTTTTTGCAGCGTTGAGTAATGTATCATCACAGACGCTGAGCCTCATTAAACGTCTGAAAATACACCTACAAGCCACTTGTGTGTTCTTCTGTGCCATCTCTCTAGTACAAATGTATTTCTTAAATACTGATTTCATTTGATTGGTAACTTATTCTTATTCTACTTCTTATTCTACTTGTTTTTATTCTGTTGTTTTAATTAGAAATGTTAAAAAGCTTATAAATTGATTGGTTTAATAACAAATAATAACAACTCGGACTATAGAAGGGAGGTTTCTACACTGTTCGAATGGAGTTATACTCATAATTTGAAGGTGAATGTCCTAAAAACAAAGGAAATGGTGTTTGATTTCAGACGGAGGACAAATGCTGTTTTGCCATTGACTATTAATGGTCAGGACATTGAAAATGTTCAATGTTTTAAGTTTCTCGGGACTACTATCTCTGCAACGTTAAAGTGGGACGACAACCTAAGAGGCATTATTAAAAAATCTCATCAAAGGCTTTTTTTCTTAAGACAGCTTAAAAAGTTTGGCGTATCTAAAGTTGGTATGTTCAATTTTTATAGAGCGGTCATTGAAAGCGTGCTGACTTTCTCACTTATAGTGTGATTTGGCAGCTCCACAGCTCAGCAGAAAAGTCAGATTAGTACCATAACTCGGGTTGCTTCGAAAATTATTGGTTGTGATCTTCCCACTATTGATGAGATCTGTTTCACTTTTGCAGAAAAACGGTTTAACAATCCTGAAAGATCCCTTACATCCAGCCAGACACCTCTTTACGCCTCTTCCTTCAGGCAGACGCCTTAGAGCAATTAAAACTAAGTCTACACGTTTTTTGAACAGCACTTATTGTAGGATTGTTCATGCTCTTAATTCCTCTGGTGTCTATGCATCTGTATTTCACTCCTTGTAATTGATAGGACATAGATAGTTGTGTATGTGTATGTATTTATATACTGTATGTATTTTAATGTTTGTTATTATTGTTGATGAGTTCACCAAGCAAAATTCCAAACAACTAGGGTGTTTGGCAATAAATAAATAAATAATAATAAATAAATAAATATATATTTTTTAATTTGACATAAAAGATGACATGCTTTTAATAAAGTTAGATAAATGCCATTACAAAGGTAAAAACAAAATTCCCTGTAAATCACTTTGAGTCAAATATCACCTCGTAATGGGAAGGTTAATTTTTTATCAGAATTTTTTTGATTATTGATTAGAAGGTGCTCCTAAATTTTGGACCGTGCACAAGCGCTCCTAAAAAGAGAAGTAAGTGTAGAGCCCTGGTACTGATTGATGAATAGTATCTGTCTTTATGACAGGTGATATTTCCGCTAGAGATTGGATTTGAAACTGCAAGTGACCTGAACTGTTTGCCTCATATATACAATGAAAAACAGCATTACAATTCCACTGTCATATCTATCTACTCACACACGAAAGTTTGGATTAGTAAGAATTTGTAAATAATGTATAATAGTGTATATAATATATAATGTCCAAAATAATGTACAAACAATAATATTGTGAAATATTATTACAATTTTTTTTTTCAATTTGAATATATTTTAAAATGTAATTTATTCTTGTTATGAATCACATGGTCCTTAAGAAATTATTCTAATATTCTGACTTAGTGCTCAGGGAACATGTGTTATTGTTCTCAATGTTGAAAAGTTGTTCTGCTTGATATTTTTGGGGATTCTGCGAAAAAAAGAATACAAATTTAATAGAAAGTTCAAAAGAACAGCATTTATGTTAACTTTCTCTAATAATGTAAAAGACTCTACTGTCACACATTTCTGTCACAATTTAAAACGTCCTTCCTTAATAAAAGTATAAACAATAGTTTTACTGACCCCAAACTTTTGAATGGTAGGGTCTATATATATTTAATAGTGCAAAATATTAGTAAAAATACACATGTGTAGGCAGGAGTAACACAAGAAAATGTATCAAATCAGTGACTTTGTCGAATCCAGCAAACATCCCACTGGCTGGTTTAAACTGTTTCTAAATTCACAGGAATCATTTACACTGTAATGTTTATACAACACCGTTGATAAAGGCCTTCGAAGGAAAGCTACTAATCCGGCTCTCTGGCTGACAAGGGCAACTTAAAGGAAAACATACAAAAAAGAGTGTTTAATCCCTCCTTGCACTCTTGTGGCTGAAGTATGATAAGAGGATGAGAAGTAATTCTACACGCTTTGGAAACAAAACAAAACAAACAAGAAACTTTTAAGTGTTACTTTCTGTGTGAATGAGTTACAAAGCCAAACATTTTGCACAGATAAACAGATTCTAGTAATGTGTGCTGATAAAGAAAATATGGTCAATTTTGATTTCATGTGGCCTTAAACAAGCTGACAAAATGTTAAAACAGCCTTGCGGAAAATAACTAAAAACTATTTAGGCACAGCTTTCTGGACTGACCCGAAAGCTAAACCCATCAAGTGTCACTTTGATTCTTCCGGGTCAACAGTGCTTGACCTTTGATCTCTTTCACCTCTGCTTTCATCTATGAGTAGCTGAAGAGCACTGGGTTCACAAACATCTGTGTGTACAAGTCCTTTCTCAAATCTCACTTTTGTCTTTCAGGCTCCAATGTTTCAAGCTCAGAAAAAGTGATTTGGATGTCTAAGTATGAAAAGGAAACATATATGTTTGTAGGAAATAATAGGCTAATATGATAAGTACACACTCTCCTGTCTGAAGTGCTTTTGAAAGGAGAGTGAGAAAAAAATAACATTGAAAGGAGCAGTGAAGCTCTCATGAACAGAAGTTTGAACAAGACAGACATTCTCCGTGTGAACCAGCACATTGTACACCAGAGGGAAATTCATGGTGCAGGAAAAATCAAGTCAAACCTGCACTCCCACTAAAGTCAAATGTCACTGCTTTGAGTGCAAATGACAAAACGGAACAATTCTTAGGTGCTCAAAGAGGTGAGCTTGGTCGTAAAGGCCTGTAGCTAAATCTGTACAAGATAACGCCACTTCCAAGAGATTCTCTTCATCATCTACAAAGCTACTGCCCAGTGGGGTCTTTTGAAAGATCTTGAGATCCCGTACTTTGGGATTCCTTTGCATGCAGCTACAGGCCCTGGTACACACATCCATTCATCATCTGATATCATAGGAGGGAAAACAGTTAACTTAAACAATAACCAGTGAACCACTAAATGCCATTCAGACGCTGAATGTATACTTTATATAGGCTAACTGGCATGAAGGAATGCCAAGTGTTCTCTTTCCGACAAAGGGACAAAATAACATTGTTTATGCAATGATGAAGAGCTGCAGTAATCATTAAGGAAGCAAACTAAAATTATTGTGTTGCATCACAGCAAGATCGATAATTTTAACAGCTATTGATAGGAAGATCTATATTATATCTTTAGAAAAATTACAGAAGTCATATCTGAACCCATTAGATTATGTATTAACTTGGAGAGAGTGACCTCGTAAAAGTGTTTAGAAACATCAACAAATGTGTTATATTGACAGTAAACAAACAAGAAGCCTAACTGTCCCTCTTTGAGTCAGAGAGCAGCCTGAGGTTAAGGACAGGACTGTTACCAGAGCATGACAAGTCATTTCACCTTGTCTTTTTTAAATCAGTCTTCAACTGATAAAATGTTTGCACACTCTTTTTATGCTATGGAGGTCTTGGGCATGTGATCCTGTCACAGGCACCGTATATATATGAGGTCAAGTTACACATATAAATATATGTGTGTCTTTTATATCTCTATTCACACAATAAAATGATGATGTAAATTATTATGTACCAGTATGAAAATCTAATTTCGACAGATAGGTGTCCTGTTCCTCATGTTGGTAACTATACCAGACATCTAACAATCAAACAATTAACATTCAAACTGTGCTTCTGGTCAACCATAAAAATATAAAACAGAAAACAAGCTGAGTTCAGCAAAGTGGAAGTTATTTCTAATTGGTCAGGTAGGATGGGTCTGCATAATTACTTTCATAATTACATTTTTCACTGCATAGGCCTATATTAAGTGGACATTGGAGTATCAGACTTCACTGTAACGGTTCACAGTAAGAACAATAACTGTAAGGACAACTGTATTAGCGTCCACACCATAAACATGATAAAATTCAATTTATTAGAAACACACAAAGCAGTACTGTTGTCTGCTGCTTTATTACACATATATAAATTATTAAACGAATAGACCTTATTATAGAAATGT